GCACCAGTTGTTGAAGATGCTTTCTTTTTTCTATTGTATAGTTTTAGCTTCTTTGTCAAAGATCAGGTGTTCAAAGGTGTGTGGGTTGATATCAGGGTCTTTGATTAGATTCCATTGGTCTACCTGTCTGTTTTTGTGCCAGTACCAAGCTGTTTTCAGGACTATAGCTCTATAGTAGAGCTTGAAGTCAGGGATGGCTATGTCTCTTGAAGTTCCTTTATTGTACAGGGTTGTTTTGGCTATCCTGGGTCTTTTGTTTTTCCATATAAAGTTGAGGATTGTCCTTTTGAGGTCTGTGAAAAAATTGTGCTGGTATTTTGATAGGGATTGCATTGAATCTGTAGATTGCTTTTTGTAAGATTATCATTTTTCCTATGTTGATCCTGCCTATCCAAGAGCATAGGAGCTCTTCCCATTTTCTGGTTATCTTCTTTAATTTCTTTCTTTAGAGACTGAAAGTTCTTGCTATACAGGTCATTCACTTGTTTGGTTAGCGTTATCTCCAGACATTTAATGTTGTTTGTGGCTATTGTACAGGGTGATGTTTCTCTGATTTCTTTCTCAGCCCATTTATCATCTGATTATATACAGAAAGGGCTCTCTTGTGATAGTGATTTGTCTAGTGTCAGGGACCTAAGCTTTCACAAACCCTTTACTTTATGGTCCCTATTGTTTAGAGATGATATCTATTTACCTGCCTTCTGAGTACGAGCTGATTTCCTTTTCTGATCTGAGCAATAGAATGTAGAAGAACTGATAGTTTTCCATTTGTGGAAGCCTTGACGAAAGAAACCTTGAACTGTGAGAATTCCAGAATAATGGAAAAGGGAGCAAAGAGGATTTTTCCAACCAAGGCACCAATTTAGCTGGTAAATTGTTTTAATAAGGGAAATAAAATTAAAAATTAGGTAAAGTGCCCTGTGGTAGTGGCTCACGCCTTTAATCCCAGCACTCAGGAGACAAAGACAGGTGGATCTCTGTGAGTTCAAGGCTAGCCTGGTCTACAGAGCACGTGCTAGGGCAGGCTCCAAAGCTATGCAGAGAAACCCTGTTTAGAAACAAAGCGAAACAAAAACCAAAGCAAAAAATACCTACTTAAAGTTACTCCTAATTTACATAAAAGCATATATCAAGTAGAGAAACGTCTATTTCTTGAAAATCTACTAAATAAGTACAAATTCCAAGAAGTTTGTGAACCGTTGTATTGTTTTGGAACTCTTCAGGGGAACACTGACTTTGAAGGCAGAAAAACCTTAAAGGGACCAACTTCATTGTATTGTGAATGAGCCGACTCTCAAACTATCTAGTTCCTGACTTTTTGTTATATCAGAAAATAAGTTTCCAGTGGTTCAGTGATTTTTTTAATTGACATATTTCACTTTTGCAAACACTATCATGCTCATGATTCTCTGAATAAAACTGACTCACTGCAAAAATGATGTGGAATAAAGATTTCTCCTTGTAGCATGAAAAATCAAAACCCAGAGACAGATATTGAAGTTCAAGTTGAAAGATTAGAGTAGCAAAGCAGTCAGGCACCTCAGACTAAAAGGGCAATCCTGGTTCCAGGAATCCTCAGGCTCCTAGACTGCAATGTTCTCCACCAAAAACCTCAGACTGCTCTCTGAGACGACACTGAGCTCTTCATATGTTCTCCAGTGCTGGGATTAAAGGTGTGAGCGCTGTTTCTCTTTTAGACTGATTCAGTCTTGTGTAGCCCAGGGTGGGCCACAAACTCACAGAGATCCATCTTCCTCTGTCTCCTGAATCCTGGGATTAAAGATGTAGCCACCACTGCCTGGCCTCTATGGCTGCAGCTAGCTTTGCATTCTGATCTCTAGGTAAGCCTTATTAGATCATAAACAATATATCACCACATCTCCTGGTATTTAAGTTTGATCTTCTATTGTTTCCTGGAGGATTTGGTCTTCTTCATGGGTTGTATATCACCAATAAAACTATGCTGACAATAAGATCCTTGCAGAGGTATGTGAAAACTATGAGCCTGTGATTTCACACACAGTTCCTGACATGGAGTTGAGGGTGTGACTTCACATACATCTATTTATTGGAAAGGAGATGCTGAGTGACTAACATCTGTGTACTGTGACTTTGCCACATTGAGAGGGCTATCTTAGCCATACACTGTCCTAAAAACTGATACTGAGCTTTTGTGAGAAAAGCTCATGTTTAAGTCTTATCTATATTTGGTATGAGAAAGTTTATTTAATAAAAATACTGCTTTCCGAGTTGGGCATGGTGTTCACACGTGAAATGTCAGCATCTGAGTGTCGAGACAGGAAGATAAGGGGAGAACTCTTCATCAGCGACATAGTGAGCTCCAGACTAGCCTGGGCTCCATGAGGCCCTGTCTAAACAAACAAGCTGTTCATAAGTAACCCTTGTTTAGTGAGCTTCTACCTCAGCTGCAAACTGATGCAACAAGAGGTCACCTAGTAGCACTAAATTTGTCTTTAGAATGATTGTATTTCTAACACTGAATCATATACTTGTGTGGGTCAGTAGGGTGAAAACTCACAGTAGTAGTGTCAATTTCCAAGTGGCAGCAACCAACAGGACATAATAGTTACTTATATTCTATTATTGCTGTAGGATACCAAAACAAGGGAGGAATGAGCAATTTCCTATTGTTCTAATAAAGCTGAAGTACAGACAGTGCCACTCTTTAAACCTCTTCCCTGCACTTTTATAAGAATCTTAAATTACAACCTTGTTAATTATGGAACTAAGTATAAAAAATGCCAGGAGGAAGACATCATTGGACTAAATGGAGCATAGAAATATGACCTGATGGTTAGGAAAGTGAAGATGCTTCACCCAATAACAGCAAAAAGAAGTTTGTAATTGTATGCTCCATGGCTAGATATATAGGCCATCAACGGAAAAGACAAAGACTAGAAATTTTGTTACAACCAAGCAAAGTGCACAGGGGTCTCTGTTATCCTTTCCTGGGCAGTAAAATGACACAGGCTCAGGCAGGACACAAAAGGAGTTCTGTTCCCTCAGTGTCAACTCCTGCTCTCAATCTTTTGATGGGCACAAGCTGCCTGAGAGACTAATTCTGCAAGCAGCCATTGCTCCATTCTTTAGTATGAAGCAGGAGTGGTTGGGCTGTAACAAGCCCTAATCCGGTGGTCCTGTTGTTTGCTTCTCATCCATGAGAAGCCATCAGCACCTTATATAGAAGCTGCATATTTAATCCTGTCCTTTGACTTGGTGCTGGGAGGGCTTGCTGCTGAAGGGTCTGTGAGAAATTGTATGAGGGGAATGCAGCATCTGTGGAACACAGAGATCCTCCTCTTGCTCTTTAGTGTTGATTTCACAACAAAGTTCTGGCATTTAAATGGATTAGAGTCACTGGAAAGCAATATAACATGAATTCTGAGAATCTAGACTGTTTAGCAAGACTGGAAACCATATAGCTTCAGAGGAGAAAGAAAAGGAAAATACAACTAAATAGTTTCATCCCATATACCATAAGGAGGAGAAATTTTCTGCTTTTAATTAACTATTCATTTTCTTCCTAGCATGTGGCTTTGGATAATTAGGGAGATTATTTATAACAATGACTACGGTTTTCCCATTTGTTTCCTTAAAGCATTATGCTAATGAGTCCAAGATTCATTCCCAAGTGAGCCAATAAACTCACACTGGCTTGGAAACAACTACTCCACCCAGAGTAAGCTAGCCATCTTGCAAAACTGCTCCATGAGGCTAGCTGAATTGAGGTAGAGTGTTCACTGCAGATGTATTCTCAGAACCCAGAAAAATCAATTCCTAACCAATAGCCTGGCAAGAGTAGCACGCTCCTGAGGGAAAGGACTTTGCAGAAATGTTGCAAAGCACAGTAGCAAAGCACTGAAACCTTCTGCCTCAAATTCTACATTGAAGAAGCAGATCAGATAACGGGAGGCATCTTTTATGGCAGCAGGGCAATGGTACGCACGGAGTTCTTAGCGTGGCTGCCAGCATTTAAACTGCTCAGTAGACTTGCTTTCCAAGTAAGGAATGGAGTCTACCTCTAGGTGGAGATATGTCTTGTCTGAGCTAATCTATTCGGGCAATCAGCTGGCCAATGGACCACCCCTCAGGAAGGTAGGTCCACAGCTTGTCTCTAAGTGAGAAGATTATACTTCTCAGAATTTCCACTCTCTGTGCGTCTGCTCCAGGGCCACGAGGCTCTGTCAGATCACTTATGTGTTCTTTGTTCCGATTTAAGAAGATATAACTATTTTTTCCGTTTTTCTTCTTTTCTGTCTTTTAGATGCAGACTAGAATCTAAGTATGCTTTTCTTTTTTTTGTGTTTTTGTTATTATTTTGCATTTCCTTCTCTTTCTCTGTAGCTCCTCTGTCTAACATGTGGGTATTTGTCTACCACATGACTGACCTCCATGTTGACTTAACTCAAACGGCATAGATTTTCTTCTTCTCTTCTCTGCTCCATCTGTCTTCTCGGAGCTGCTGCTGAGATGTACAAATGAGGACCCTCCCAGAACACCCAGAATCTTTGGTACACAGTCCCTAGGTTTACAGAGCAGGCTTTCATCTATCATGACAATTATGGAACTGAAAGAATACTATATTTCTACTGTGACTCCATTGCTTTGAGCTCCACAGAAAGCCTGACAGCTATGGATTCGATGCAAGGTGCTCTCTGACAGGCTGGCTCTCTATTCTCTGTGGAATGTCCTAGCTTGGATGGGACTGGCCAATAGCTAATTCCAATTTAAGTGAATGCAAATGGGAGCCCAGACTTCTATCCCAAAGCTGAGTGAGTCAGGGATTCCAGTGTAGCAACTGGCTGTTTGTGGAATAAATCATTGCAATCCCTCTCTGTGTGGCATTTTCTGATTTACCTGAAATCTTTGGCTGTAACTGGTGGTGTTCTGAGAGAATGTGTGTGTATGCATGTGGAAGGAATTTAACCATAAAAATCTTATCTTAATCTTTCCCCAAGTATCACATGTCTTGATAATCTCAGGAATTTTATTGGCCAGCTGGCATGGGCCTTCTGTTGCAGAGGCTGGAAGGCTCTTCTAGATGACTCAAACAGATGTGGTGGGTTGGTAATTTTCTGCTTTACCTGGAGAAACACAAAAAGAAGGGGGAAAGCAGAGCCAGAGTTGGAGGAGCAAATATCCACTGACCCTCTCATTGTCCTCTCTTCCTGAAACATCTTTTTAATCTGGGCAAAGGCTTTTCCAGCCAGGAGACACACTTCTTTTGATACACATATTTTTGGCTTTCTCCTCTCATGATAGCTGTTTGATTGACATGAAGACCACTCACCTTGCCTCAACTGAGGAAAATACATCCCTTTAATTAGCAAGAATTTTAGGTGAAAATGAACTCTAAAGGTAGCTATGGCCCAGAGCCAAGATGAGGAGGTTCAATTTCAAATCAATAAAACATTTGCTAGGCAGCTACTACCTCAAGTATGTGGGTTGTAGGAAAGAGGAACAAGGTTTGCTACCAGGGAACTCACGCCTGGCAAACATGACAACTAAGGTCATGAGATAAAGGGTCTCCACCTCATCAGGGAAGAGACATGGAGGCACCTACTGTCAGTGTAAAGGATGTTCCCAGTAACCAGCCATGACATTGTTGACAGGGGACTCTGACGCACATATAGTCATGTATCACGCATGCTGCCTGGGAAGCAGGTAGTCACAGAGACCTGTCATTACTTTTATCTTTCTCAACATACAACATAAAATATGTACATCTAACATCCGTTAATGAAAATTGATCTTTGTGAAAGTAAGTTATTAGATGAAGGCTCTCTGATCACACTGGGGGTAGTCACCCATCTGATCACAGGAGAAGGCCAGTTCAGGCTGCATATCTACTATTGCTAGGAGTCTTAGCTGGGTTTATCCTTGTAGATCTGTGGTCAGAGAGCCTTCATTCGGTAACTGATGGAAACAGATGCAGAGACCCACAGTCAAATATTGGACGAAAGCTCTGGGAATCCTGCTAAAGAGAGGGAGGAAGGATTTTAGAAGCCAGAAGGATCAAGGACATCACAAGAAAACCCACAGAAATGACTAGCCTGGCTCCTAGGAACTCACAGAATCTGAACCAACAGCCAGAGATCTTGCATGAACTGACCTAGGCCCTCTACATATATGTGACAGTTGTGTAACTTGGTCTACTTGTGGGACTCCTAACAATGTGAGCAGCGGCTCTTCCTAATGCTTTGGCTGACTCTAGTAGCCTATTTCTCATATCCTCATACTGGGTTGCCTTGCCCAGCATAAATACAAGGGGAGATGCTTAGTATTACTGCAGGTTGATAGTCCATGCTTTCTTGATACCCACAGAAGGCCTGAACCTTTTTGAACAGAAACAGAGGTGGACCAGGGGGTGGTAGTCATACCTTGAATTCCAACACTCTATGGGTTCCAGGGGCAGCCTGGTCTACCAAGCGAATTTCAGGACAGCCAGAGTTGTTACACAGAGAAGCCCTGTCTCAAAGAAAGCAAACAAATGAACCAAACCCAAACCCAAACCAAACAAACAAAAACAGAGGAAGAGTGGACTGAGGGCATGGGGAGGTAGGGGAGGGAATGGGAAGGATGAGGGAGGGGAAACTTCAGTCTGGATGTAAAATAAATAAATTCAAATAAATTTTTGAAAAAGTAATTTATACTCACAGAATGCCTGGGAGGTGGGCAAAGGACTAGCTCCAATGTCTGTTCACAATTACCCGATCTGAAGGAAGAGTTGTAAGGTGCGGGTCTCCTACTTTTGACTGGGTGATGGGGCAATAGGATTTTTGACATTGGGGAAGAGATCAATGGAAGGCAAGGCAGGGGAAGGCCTTGGAGTTGATGGAAGCAAAGCCTCTTGGACGTGAGCACTCCCAAGAGTGCTCTATTACTAAGAAAACGACTGATGGAAGCAAAGCCTCTTGGACATGAGCACTCCCAAGAGTGCTCTATTACTAAGAAAATGTCTGTTGCCCTGCTCAGCAGATCCCATAGCATGTGTCCTTCATATTTCATTTTTGAGTAAGGCACTTCTTCTGTCACTTGGACCTGTGGCCCAAGCTGGCCAGCATTGTCTTCTGTTGTGATTCAGCAGATGGTCTCTATAACTTTCTCAACTAGCCCTGAAAGGTTGCCAGTTTGTTGACCTGGGAAACCCCATCACCCACCTCTGCCAGGCAGGCTCCCATCAACCCAGTTTTTATCTCTATTTCTTCTGGAACTTTCTTTCCCTTTCTCTTTGAAACCCTGGCCACTATTCCCAGTATAAGGAATCCTTCATTGGTTGCCAGAGATAGTTTGTTTTAGCAATCTGAATGCACTGTGCTAGAATCCGCAAGATAAACACAGCTTGAGGGCATAAAAAAAAAAAAAGGAGGAAGAGGAGGAGGGGCTAGGTAGGCTCGGGGGAGGGAATTGAGCTGGGTGGGGAGGGAAGTGTGGGAATGCCCAGGGCTCATCACAGGAAGTTCAGCTCTCCACCAGAGGGAGGTGGGGGTAATCCAACATGTCAGTGCCTGAGTTGTGGGTTCAGGGCCAAGTCTGTCTCAGTACTCACTGCCGAGTCTCGCCTATGTAAGTGTTCCTAGGATCAACCTGAACCTGGATATGATTTGTAACTTTCTTTTTTTCTGATGGAGACATTTCACTTCCCTGGGAGGAAGGGCAAATCCTCTGTGTCTGAACCCCCCCCCCCCCGCCTTTTTAAAAAATCTCTGTGTGAATTTAAAGTTCTCACCATCATCCGAGCTTTCCGTTCTTAGAAGCAAGCCAGGCCCCTCAGGCTTTTCTCTCCCACAGATTCCTGCTCCTACCTTGCATGTCCATGTTTTGGGGGAAGGTTTTCTGCTCAGATTTCCTCGGCTGCCTCACCAATTACTCATCTGCAAGCCTTTTTGCTTTTTTTGTTTTGTTTTGTTTCTGGCAGTCTGAGTTCATCTTCCATTTGTCTACTAGAATTATTTCTCGAGAACTAACGCATTGCCAATTCGCCAATTTTAATTGTTTACACATAGTTTTGCCCACCCACTTCTGCTCGTCTTATTCATCCCTAGGCCTCTAGATTTATTAAATTCCTTTGATTTTTTTCTTTTATCTAAGTGTGCATCCAGGGAAATTATTTTTCTTCTCTTTTCTTCTTCCAAATATAGACATTTTCTTTGTGACCTTGCTTTGATGCTTTTATCTTTTCTTTGGTATTTCCCCCCCTGCCTTAGCAGCTCCAAACTTGCAGAGAACACCAGGTCCAAGTCCATAACTCCGTAACTACTGCAGAGACCTGTCCTTGTCTAGTCTCTCATCAGCATCTCAGCTCCAACAGATTGAACACCATGCTCCTCTTCCCTCTCTGTAGGGATCCCAACAAACCTCACAGCTAATGCCTCTCGTTCCAGCAATATAGATGGACTGTGGCACATGGAAATAAAATAAAATAAAATTGCTAGCGTAATTTTCCTGCTGCTGGTATCTCAACATTTCCTACACACGTTTGATAATGAATTGCACCCAACTTCAGCCTTCTGTGACTGCACATAAGAATTCAAGAGTTTGAAACCTACTTCTAGTGGATCACTTGGAGAGGCGAATGAATCCCTCTCAATGCATTTGTCATGCTATGTTGGCGTCTTACTATATATACCCTTTGCTTCCTCGGTTCCTCATCTCTTGGTTGTCTTAGCTTGAGGGGTGGTTCTTTTCCCTTTATCCTTCTCTCACACAATACATCCTGACTGAAACCTCCCTCCTACTTCTCTTCCCACTTCCTCACCTCCTGTCTTCCCCAGGTCCACTCCTCCATTTCCCTTTAGAAAAGAGTAGGCCTCCTAGTTACAAGTTACCATGAGACCAGGCACAAACTCCCAAATCAAGGCTGAACTTGGTAACCTCTGTTGTCTCTGACTTTTCTGAATCTCACAATTCTCTCTCCATCCCGGGCAAGACGGTCACAGCAGTGAACGTTTTCTAAAGTTCCCCTTCAGCTTTCCCGTCTCATTACCACCTGGTATTTCAATGCACAAACACCACGTCTAGAAATTGTTTTTCTCTCAGGTCTCCAGCTGTCGCCTGGCCAGGCACTGCGTGAGATATTCACTGCTGTCCCAGGCAGGGCTTCCTGTCAATAGCAGAGAGGAAGCTGTGCTTTTGGATGAACCCTCATTTTCCGGGGCTGGAATAGCGATCAGCAGGCAGTGATAAGGCCTCTTCCATCCTTGCAATCTGCATGAATCTCACTAGCCTTGTTAGGGAGAAGAGGAAAGAAAGAGCTGTTACAAGGCTGCTGGGAACGCCATTAGCCAGCCCTACATATCCCAGCAACCAGATGAAATGAAAGCATGCCCAGTGGTCACAGTACTCATCTTGCCAGGATTTAGAACTCCTTGCTTTGCAATTATACTCTGACATCATTTACAAACAAAATAGTGAATAGACTTAATTTTTTAATTGAATATCAGGCATGAAATGTGTTCTGGATTGTATTTGTTTGATTCTCTTATTACATGGTGACTCATTGCTTAGTATTCTCCACTAAGGACCAAGCCGTAGTCTCCTTTTGTGTCATTTTGGGTGTTTGTCACTTTTTCTATTTCATCCTCATTTTCCTCAAGTGAACTAGTAGACACATGATGTATTAAATAGATGCAGTGAAAGACACACCATCAACCTGTCTTCCTCTACCGAAAACTTTAAAATTTATTCTTATGTGCCAAATAATTTTACAAGTTCCTACTTTTCAGATGATAAAAGCTAAATCAGTCACCCTGTGTGTGTGAATGTGTGTGTGATGGTGATGATGGTGATGATGATGGTGGTGGTGATGATGATGATGATGATGTCAGGAGTCTGGGGAAGGAAATGGCCTTTAGGGGGCTTTGGCTTTTGTTTTCAGTGGCCAAAGATTCTAAGACAGAGTGAAAATACCCTGACAGTTTTTGCAGAAGATCTGAGTTTGGCTCCTACCACCTACATTGGGCAGCTCACAACTATCTATAATTTCTGCTCCAGGAGATCTGATGCCCCCTTCTGGCCTTAGTGTGCAGCTGTATGCATGTATAGATGCAGATGATTAAAAATAAAACCTTTCTTAAAAACCGTAACAGAGAACTCTTTTAGGGGTTTTATAATGGTGGTACCACAGTGCTACGTAAGGTGACACATAATCTAGAGCAGAATCTGGAGATGTACGTCCAAAACTATGCTAGCTATGTATACATCCCCAACCCTTTCTGAGGCACTGCGGATTACCTGTCATGGAGACTGTGTACTCAGGTCAGGGGCATGGGACTGGGTGTCCTTTCTCACACACCACCCTGTTCTCACTAATAATCTTCGTCCATTTCATTCTTCCCCCTCATCCTGACAAACAGGGTTATACTGAACAACTGGGAGAATGGCAATTATATTATATATAATCTATGTATGTCAGCAGAACCCCCATAGATGTTGATATTAATCTCTCTGAAAAACTGCAACCAACAACAAAATATATTCCCTAATCTTGGATTAATTTCACGAGGTTGCCTAAGGAGAAAGAAAACCATCTTGTTGGGTAGAAGCCACAGGGCAGAGTTTCTGAGTCTCTATTGCTGTTTAAGAAGCTTAGCAGAAGGGTAGTAACTCTTCCAGATAGAAGCTACCTACTTTTAGCCATAAACTACTTGAGATCAGGGAAACTGCTCTGCCCATCTCAGGTCCTAAGGGCCTATCATAGTGTGTAGCATGTCGTAAGTGTCTGAAGCACGTTTGCTGACATTTAGTGTGTCTTGTTCTGGGCCTCTCTTATCTGTGAAGCAGAGCAAAGAGATTCTCACAAGTGCCTCTGGATTTAGATGCTTACTGTTTTGTTTCTAGAAGAACACAGAGTTTTGTAGGTGTTAGAACATTAAGGTAAGCTCTTGTTTTAATTATTTGGAGACACAGAAATAAATTTGGCTAAAGTTATAGTGCAAGTATATATAATATTAAAATGTCAATAGGCTCATGTCATATTTAAAATATATATTATATGAAATAAGGCCATCCTGTACAGTCTATGAATTTGCATGTGATGCTGATGTAGGATTTGCAGTGCTTACGTTTGTATTGCGCTTACACGTTCATGCCTACTGCTTTACTTTATCCCGGCAGCAAATCTACCTACCATGTGGTTTTATTTCCCCTGAGCATAAGAAGAAACTGAGTGACAGGTAAAGTGTTCCACTGATTATGATCGTGCAGCCAGCAAGGCAGTCACTCAGATCACCTAGCTTCCCAGTGTGAGGTAATCGATCTGAGCATTTCTTTATACAGCTACAAAATGTAATCACAATATCCACCTTTCAGGAGTTGTTGCAGAAATTGGCATTGTCAATGTTGAGTGCTTACATAAAGTAAATGATGTCTGCTTCTTTAATTCAACTGTGCAAGGCCTACTTAGCTCAGTTGACAGTGATGAAGTCAGCTGGCCAGTTATATTTTCACAATACCAGAAATGAGACTGTTGAGAAAGCTTATGAGCGTGGAGAGAGGAGGCAGGACACACACTTGAAAGAGCACTGAACTAAACCACATGAGGCATCACTGAGTTACCTGAAAGAGACACACAGCGTAGAATGTAGGTAATAGGGACCACACCACACTCACTTGAAGATCTGGGAGACTAGGTCTAACTTGGATATCTTGGAGACCTTAGAGAGATGTTCACACGATGTAGTGATACCCAACAAACCACAGCAGATGGAACGAAATGAATGTGCCTCATGGTCCTTTTGCAGTGCTCTTGAGTTGGGTGATGAATCACTTTGGTCTCCATGAAACATGGCCTGTTCTCACACGTGTCTTCACATGCTCTGTGTGAGCACCCATCTACAGGAGGTGGAAATATATCT